TATTTTAATAGAATGTAATTCTAATTAGTTCTAGATTTAACATATTGGGTAATCCGTAAAAAAAAAAGATATATCTAGATTATGCAAGTTTTTTTTTTCAATAATGTTTAATAATAACCAATAGAAAATATAAAAATTACGTTATCACTTTACTAATCTATTTTAAATATTTATAATTATGATTATGTAATTTTATTAATAATGATTTACAGTATTTTTTTTATATATATAAAGTATAGTTTTTTTTATTCATATCCAACATTCCCAAAAATGTCTAACAACGAAATTAAACAATCTGAAAATTTACATAACTTTTCTTGTCTTTCTTGTTATGATCATATCTATGATCTCACCATAAAAATCGAAGAAAGAGAAGAATTCATCACTAAACTTCAGGCTTTTTTTCGTAAAAAATTGGATATCGAATACGTAAATCTTTACTCGGAATTTATGCAAAAATTTATAAAACTTGAAAAATTCAACATTGACATTGATAAAAATAATTTTACATATTCTGATTACGTTGATGACCTCTATTTAAAAATCGAAGAAGCAGAATATTTTATCTCGGAATTTGAAATGTTTTTCTATGATAATTTGGGAATCGAATACATGAATCTTTTTTCAGAATTCATGGAAGAAGAAAATGAACGTATTAAAAACGAATTAATTTCTTTTTACGAAAATGAAATATCTGATTTAAATATCGAAAACTTGGAAATAATGTATCTCAATATTCCATCAAATGATAATTAATATTATAATGAGTTGAAAAGGATGAACATAATGGATATAGTTTTTTTTTGATTTTTTTTTTAAATATGAAATTTGTATTTCAAATATTATTTTAATTATATATTATATTATCAATAAATCACATATTTTAAACGTAAAAGACATAAATATTTTTACATGAAATAAACATGTCTATTTATATAATAAATTTAAAATATTAATCACAATTATCGAGTATTCTATTAATAAAACTACAACGCTTCATTGGAGGAATTGATTCTATCAATAAAAATATAATTGGGTTTTAATTAAAATTTATATTTTTACAAAAAATTTAATACTAACCCTTATAAAGAGATAAAGCGTTTATTTGCATATTATAAATAATAATACAAATAATAATAAACCAAAAAAAAAATTTAATCATCATATTTATTTATTAAATAATTATAAATCGATAAAGATGTAATATTTATATATTTTTTTAATAATAATAACTATAAAAATTTATTTACGATAAAAATTTAAATACGAAATAATATATTTTAATATCTGTGATTTCTATATTTTTGTCTTCTTTCACTTGGTGATAAAACAAAATTATCAACAAGTCTTGACCAATTATTATAATCATCACGATCTGATCTACCACTTGGTCTAAATTCAAAATATCTACTTTCTGTTTTTTTAATATTTGAATTTATTATTTCTTGATAAGTTATTCGAGTAATAATAAGAAGTATCCTTATTGCTTTAGGGTCAATATCATCATTGATTTCATTTTCTAATTCAATACTTTCGATATCATTGAAATTATCATTTATTTGCATAATATATTCCTTAAAATTATCTTTGATCTCTTTAATTTTTTTTTTACTTTTAAGATCAAATTCTTGAATATAATATTCGGTAGCTTGAGCAACAATATCGTCTATTTTATTTTCATCAATTTTTTTAATATCTGATTTGGTTTCTTTGTTAATTTCATCTTGATCATTATTTGTAATAAATTTAGATTTTTTTTTATTTATTTTTTCTTTATCTATTTTTGAATATTTTTCTTTTTGTTCTTTTATTGAATCATCCCATTTTGAATTCCAATTATATTGACACGACATTTTAATTATTTATTTTCTTTTTCTTTTGTTCCTTTATATAAGAAACTACGAAATTTATTAATAGAAAATGCATATTTAACATTCATGAAAAAATCATTTGTAAAAAAATATGATCAATACGAATATCCAGTTTAAAAAATTTTTAAATTATATTATCATTTTATTTATTTTCATTTTATCATATTAAATTATGTAATAATCATTAATCTTTAAATAAAATAAATACAAATATAATTTCTATATTATTAATATTTTTATATAAATAAACTTAATTTTTTTCTTTAGATTAAATATAAAAAAAATGTCGATAAAAAAACAAAAACATCATAAAGAAATAATCAAAGAAAGAAAATCAATATTTGATTTTTCTGGAGAATTTTCAAATGTGAGTTTTCACTAAATACATGATTCATTTATGTAATTTATTATAAATACGCTGCTTAAGTAGAATGAAGTGTATTCGGGTTTCAAGATACATGGACAAAAAAGTGTAAAGTGAATTACATGAATGATCAAATTTGTGTCTTGTTATAAGTTATCGCTGTCAGATTAGGATGAAATTTGTACTGTTTTCATGGCAAATGGATGAAATGATGTAAAACAAGATATGATTATTTATTATTTTTTTTTCTTAGCTTTCTTTAGATGAAAAGAAAAAAACGTACTTGTTATTAGTTAAATATTTATTGACTAATAATGAAATTAATATCAAAAAAATTGAAAATAATTTATTAATTGGAAATTACAAAAAGATTGATATAAATGTTAAATGTTTGTTTAAACAAGGTTGTTTTATGATCATGGAAGATGAAATTATAAAATTCGAAAAAGAAGTAAATGAAGAAAAAGTAATTGGATTTTTAGTTTCTAATGTGTATTTTTCTGATCAAGCTATTAAACGAGTTGGAAATAATGATAAAATTTATTTATGTCATGAGAATGAATTAGTCAATGACATTATAATTGTTGAAAAATTTAAATGTGATAATTTAAAAGATATTATCAAAGATAAAGATTTAAAAAGTAGTGATTTAGAAACAAAAAATCTAATCGAAGAATTAGAATTTTTAATTAGTTTTCAAAATAGTTTAATCGAACATCAAGAAAAATCAATAAAAGAATTAAAATTGAGAATTTTATTCTAAAATAAATTTACTTCATTTAAATATTATGTAAAAATAAATTAAAAATGTATGATGATTAAACACGGAGTCTATTAAATACTTTTAAAGTACATAACTATGAAATTACTTATTTGGGAATGATTGGTTATTAAATGAATAATATGAATCTGATTTATTCATGATCATCCAATTTTTCATTTATAAAAGAATTTTTGTTCGACAAACAAAAATTTCAAATATTTCAAAATTCCAAAAATTTTATAAAAAAATTATATAACTTTATCATGCAACATAATACTTCTTTTCGTATTCCAAACAATTATGATGATATAAGTAGATCTTCATCTTTACAAGTTGAAGTTGAGAATCCACCTACGTATGAAGAGGCAACTGCGGAAACACCAGATTCTAGACGAAGAGGTATAAAATTACAATTTATTTTTTTTTTTCAAATTTAAAAATTTAACATGTTAAAAAAAATATAAATATATAATAAAATATATTAGAATCGCAAAATACTGTTGTTCAATCAGAAATCGAAGAAGGTAAAGTTAAATTTTAATGTTTTATTTATTTAATAACTTTTTATCAATACAATTTTTTTATTAGAATATAGTAATTATTTAAGTGAAAGAGCGATGCAACATTTTGAAGGTTACGAAAGAAGAATTAAAAAATTAGAAAAAGATCTTAATGTATATAAGATCATATCTTTAATTTTTTTTATTTTATTTTTAATTGTTCTTGGTTTATTTGGTATTGTATGTTATTATTCGTATATTGTACATAATATGAATATTGCATTACTCAAAGAAAGTGTTGGGGTGGAAATGAAAAAGATAGTTTTTAATGAGAATTTAGATAGAGTTATTAATTTTTTAGATTCGCATAGGATGAAATAATAAAGTTTTTCTTGTTCGATTTTTGATTGAACAACAGTATATATTGATCAATTGGAGATCGACCAAGTAGAATTTTATTCTTAAAGAAAATTTTATTTTAAATAATTTAAAAAAAAAATATTTTGAATTATTAATTCTTTTATTTATAAATAAGATAAAAAATTGAAGTAAAATATTTACAGTAAAAGATATAAATACAAGAAAGAAAGAAAAACTATATTTTTATTTTCTCACGTTTTAATTTTTTTAAACCTTCTGTAAAGGTATCTATTATCACACTTTCTCTTTCGATATTTACATTCTCTCTTTCGATGAGAGTTATATAAAAATTTCTATCATGCCAAAAATACCAAGCGGCAAAAAGTAAAAGTCCAATAAGAAACAAAGCCCAGTAAAAAAGAGTCTTGTAAATATTCTTCATTTCTGTATCAGAATTTACTTGACTCTGGGTTATTGTTCTAAGATGGATAATTTGAATATTAAATTTTTATGATAATAAAGAAAAATATTTCATTAATTACAAACCTTTGAGAGTCGGATAAATTATTTGAATTATTTGGTGATTCTGGAGATTCTTGTTCTTCTTCAGAATGTTCTATTTTTTTAATATATTTATTTAGTTTTTTATTTTCTTTATTTAGACTTTTATTTTCTTCGATAAGATCATCAACTTTATTTTGTTGTTCATAAATTTCTTCAGCAAGAGTTATGAGTAAATCTTCACTAATGTTTTGTTGAGGTTTTTGTATTTTTTCCATTGATGATTTTTTTTAAGTAGTGATGATGAATGAACGAGATTTAAATACCAAATATCAAATAATTATCAGCATCTTCTGGATTGTTTGAATAATTACCATCTCGATTTCTATAGATGCTAGATTTTACTTCTTGGGTTTTATTATTTTCTTGTGTCGACATTTTTGTTTTTTTGTACAAAGGAAAAAAGTTTTGATATTTTGTAAAATTTCAAATTGAAAAATTATATAAGAAACGTAAACAAAGAATTTGTATTCATGCATAATCTCAAAAAAAAAATGTATTAATAAATAAAATTCCATAATTCTTTTATTCGAATATTCTATATTGCCAAGTATCATCTTTATAAAATTTTTGATTTATATAATATTTACCCCAAAAATTGGGTGAAATAATTTTAAAATTTGCAAATAATTTTTTTTTTAAATAAATAATTTTGTACGTGTGAACTTTTGTACAAATTTTAGTATCTATCATGACTCATTAAATATAAAATTTTTATTTGTGATTGATAAACAAAGCCACATCTTAAAATTTACACATAAGATTTTTTTTCGAACACAAATTCTAAGATTCTTTTTATATGCGTATTAATTTTTTTTTGATTATTAATAACTTTATTTATTTTATAATTAATTTGTATATATTATTATAATAAATTTATCATTATCATTATCATGTTTATCAATGATATCATTATGCATTATTTTAAATTTTTCATCATTTATTCGTGTGTTAAAATAAAATACAAATATAAATTAATTGTTTGAATTTTCAATTATCATTTCACATGATTTTTTTTAAAGATTTTTATAAAAATTTTAACAATTTTTTTTTGAACATCCCAATTATCAATATTATGTATTTAATTTTTAACCACATTTGATCTTGGCCTTTTTCCATGTCCATGTTCATAATTATTATTATTATCATCTAAAAATAAAATATTTATATTTTAATTTAAATATTAATTAAATAAAAAAAAGATCAATATTTACCTTTTAAATTTGAAATTGCTAATGTACAAGTAACGAAAAAAAGAACCAAAACTGTAACAAAATTATTGAATTTCATTGTTCAAATGTGTTATTTTTAAAATAATAAAAAAAAATAGATTGTATTTATATTATTTTTATTAATCACGTTTAAATTTATAAAAAAATTATTTAATATATAGTAATTTTTTGAATATTTGAATTACCAAATCTAACTTTTAATATTTTTAAATTTTCATGTTTAACAAATTCGTTAATCAAATATTCTCCTTCAGTATCTGGATTAACTTTGAATGAAATTATTTTTAAATATACAAGATTCTTCATTTTTTCTTTGATCAATAAAAAATCACCAAAATCATGAATTGAATTTATCAACGAAAGAGATTTGAGATTTTGTAATTTGATAATGTTTTCAATCAAATTTCGATTATGTACACTGCTACAAAAATTCAAAATATTCATAAACAACATTAGTTATTTATAGACACTTCAATCCTGATGAGGTTGCAGCTCCCCGTAAATAATAATTGTTACTCACATCATATAAACATATTTGAAATCTATACAATAAAAATAAATAATATATTAATTATTTTATAAATTAATAATATAATCTGTAATTTATCATTAATACTTACAATATCATGTATAAATAAAAATAGTTCAACAACATATTGTTAGTGATAAGATATGATAATAGTAATTTTTTATATTAGTAATAAACTTTCTTTCACCTTTTCAATACGAGACTTTTCATCTTTGTAATCGAAATTTTATCAAATAAAGAATCGAAATATTTAGGTAAATAAGTAGATGATAAAGAAAGACTTGTTAAATTATCTAGATTTTCTAACATGTCCAATTTTAAAAATTGATTATATAAACTCAATGAAATTTTATGATCTTTCATATATCCGTTAACCATTTCGAAGAAATCAAATTTATTATGTATATGAATAAATTCGATCAGATTAGATGATTTTAACAATAAATTAACTACTGTTTTTATAATACCAGTAAGATTAAACTGAATATTTTTATAATCAACAAAAATATTTTTTATTTGGAGAGTATTAATCTTTTTCGCAAAAGAAAGATAATTAAATAATGGTCTCGCATGATATTTTTCTAAAAAAAATTCACTATAAAGATCTCGTTTATCAGATGATAAATTACAATATATGATTCGTTTTAATGAATCAATCTTAAAATTTTCATTATGAAAAGAATTTTCCCATAAAAATGGAATAACGATCCTAGCCCAATCTCGAGAAACCAAGACATATTTAAATAATGATTTCTCAATATCGTAAAGATATGAAACTATGTAAAATATTAATTCGTTTGGAACCTTTACTCGGACCATTTTTAAAATTAATTTATGAAAAATAGATCATTTATAAAGAAAAATATTAATAATATTTAAATAAGATTAATAATAAAATTAATTATATAAACAAATTAAATTTTATAATTCTTTATTTTATATATTAAAATGTCTAAATTTTGAACAAGAATCTTTAAATTATCCTTGGAAATTAACTCATGATAAAATTACTGGAAATCTCAATAAATATTCTGTTCAACTTTGTAATTTATAATTTTATTAAATAAAATTTTGAGAAATTTAGTTTCGATACAAAATTTGTATCTACTTATCATATCTGCTACGAAAAAGCATTTCTCATAGATATGAAAAAAATATTTTGTAAAACTTTCTATTAGGGAGATATATCTTCTTAACCCCTAAGCCGTACGAAATTAATCCTCACTCAGAAAGATTCAGAATTAATTTCTATGCAAGATAATATCTTGAAAGTTTTTTCAAATAACAAAGATAAAAAAATATAAAGGATCAAATATATGGGCTAATAACTTGAAGAGTCGCCGATAAGGGTACGTGACCTATGTTTTAACAATATCATCTAACAAAAGGAATACCGGAAAAAGTATTCTTATAATATTGCATCTTCAACTGCGACGCACAATTTACTTATCGTTATAGTATGCTCATATATGATCGATGGATTTATATCAACTTTGATCTTTCAGGACTTTGACCTGATAGCGATACTCAAGCATTATGAGCGTAAACTAAGTTTCTTTGCAAAGAGTTGAATACCATAATCTTTGGAAAAAAAATATCGTTAATTAATAATAATAACAAAAAAAAAATGAACTCTAACTTATGAATGTCTTATTTTATGCGTATACAACTTTTTGTGCATGAAATGCAATATCCGACTAGACATCTCAAAAGAGACCAGTACAGACGATATTGAGTATTCAGTTGGCCATCGTTGTATATGAAGCCCATCAGACAAACATAAGTGAAAGTTAAAAAAAAAATATAAAAAAAACTAATCATTATATGTAAAATTATACGTAATACAAATTTACGATAATCGAAATACATGATGTAATTGTACATAACTATGAAATTACCAAATCAACAAATGATTTTCTTTATCTATTTAATGTTGATCTTTTTAAATAGAACCATTCTCAAATTCGAAAAATCGATTTATAATATAAATTTTTATAGTATTATTTATAAATAAAACATTCTGTAATTAAAAACAATTAAATTTTATTTAAATTTTATAAGTAAATATTAAATTTTTATTTAATTATTTATATTCTCGTATTTTAATTTTTTTTATTTTAAAATATGACTTTAAACAATTATCAAAATAAAGAAAAAAGAATCATCATGCAAGAAAACAACTTGAATTTTTTTAAAGATATCATTCTCGATGATAAAAAATTTATGACAAATCACTTGATATTTCTCTTAATAATATTAATATTTTTTTTATTTCGATGATTTTTTCTTTTTATATTTTTTGTTCTTGTTTAAAATTCATTTACGAATAATAAAGATAAATTGATAAATACTAATATTATAATTTTAAAAACATTATTTATGATATTTTTATTAAATACTAAAAGCCAAAAATTCATTAAATTGTCTGTGAAACTCTTTATCAATGAATCTTGCATATTAATTTCAAATCATAATTATTATTTTATTTATATAAACTATTATAAAATTTTTTGTTAAATACCAAAGATTTTTCGAAAATTATTTTTTTTTATTCTTTCACAACTTTGATGATAATACATTTGGTTTTTGTATGTTGAAAGGCTTCATCATGGAGTGTCTACTGATATTTCTTAGTTTAAACAAAGCTCATAGCTTCCCTAAGACATTAGATGAGTAATTCTTGCATAACGCAAACTCAAACATTAACCATATAATTTAGAAGTTGTGAAAGAATCAAATTTTCTTTAAATTAAAGATATCCTCAAAGGTCATATTGTAAACGAGATAATTCTGAATATGCTTTTAGCAATGAGGATTATCTTGATACGGATTTGTGCCTAAGAATTATACACCTCACAACAGAAATATCTTTATTATTTTTTTTCATGTTCATGAGAAATTACCTTTTCGTTTGGTAAACATGATAAGTAGATATATTTTCATATCGAAACTAAAATTTCTCAAATTTATTTAATAAAAAAATATAATTTTTTAAAAATAAATAATAATATTAAAATATCAAAATATTTAAATTTAAAGACATGTTAAAAAAAATTTTTTTTTATTCTTTTTTTATAATTTAAATTTAATAAAAAAATCAATAATGATTATATTGAAAATCAAGATTCATTTTTATATTTTCGGTTATATGATATTTTTCAAAATGAAATTGTGTGATAAATTCTTTATTTTTCTCTGTATTTTAATTTTTACCTTTCAAAAAATATCTGAAATACTGTTTCATTATAAATAATACATAAATTCTACCTGCAATTTTTATAATTTTAAACTATCTACAATGAAAAAACTATCTGAAGAAAAAATAAATGAATTTGTTGATTATTACGCTAATAATCTAGGTTTTAAAAACAATAATGATGAAATAACAAAAAATCAAATTAAAAAATACGTCAATATGATAAATGATAACTGTTTCAATATTTTTAAATTTGATAATGAAATTGAAATAATAAATCAAACAAGAAAAATTTTTTTCAATAATTTAAAATGTGAAGAATGGACATATGTACCTGGAAGATGGATGTATAATATAACTTCACGTATCTATGGAGAAATTATCATATTAAACGAAAAAAAACATAAAGAATTAACTAATAAAAATAAAATATCCGAAAATAAAATAAATGAATTATTTATTCAAATTCAAAATTATTGTGATTATAATAAGTATTACACGAAAAATAATTGGGGTATATTTAAAATTATCTTGAGAGATTTTATTCAAACAATAGATAATAATTTCGATCTTTTTTATAGAAATTCTGGATATACTTGTTTAGTGCAATATATCGTAGATAATATGATATATAATAAAGATAATAAACATGAACATATATTATATACTCTTCTTATTCATCGTGTATTTCAAGAAATCTTGTCAACACATAAAAATATTCCAAAAATCCAATCAAGAAGTGATCAAAAATCAGAAATCACTTTATCCTTTCAGATAAACGAAATATTAAATAATTTAAATATAGATTATACAGATCAAGATTCTATCAATTGTAAATTAGAAAAAATTATTAAATTTAGCAAATATCTAAATTAATGAATTTTAATAATATCTATTTTTTAAATATTTATTTCTATTTTTAATGTAGTCTTTATGGTTATACATATTGTAATCATCTGGGAAATAATAAAAATCATAATCTGTATAGTCATAAAAATAATAATCAAAATTTCTTCTTAAAGATTTAGATACGATAAATACACCACGTGATATAACTATTTCAATAAAAATACCAAATAATAAAATGATTATTTTCTTCATTTTTTTTAAATATTTACAACATCTATTCAAATATTATTTATATGTTTTTGTTAAAAAAAACATTAAAATTAATGAATCATATAACACAAATTTTAATTATTTAAAATTTCTCTTTATCTGATTTAAATATGCTAAAATATACGGACGAGGAATAAAAACTATGTTATTGTTTGATCTTGCTTCTTTTTTTATAATTGCTTTGTCTTCATGTACAATAATTATCTTATCCCAATTACAATTAAGTGATCGTAACATGGAAATAAATAATTGAACGTGTAACCAATTTACAACTTTGTCTTTGATACATCGAATTACCAACCCTTTTCTTACATTTGCATAAAAAAAATTCATCTCTTTATCAAATTTATCAAACACGATCACACCATAATGTATATTCATATCAGAATTATAAAGACTGCGAATATGTGTGCCCTCTTGTTTCATCAATATCATTTGTAAATCTCTCATCAAGTTTATCGTGAATTCGTTATTTTTATTATGTATATTATTTATATTTATTATACTGTTTGTATTTATAATAAAAAAAAATAATATAAAGAAATAAAATATAATTTTATTCATTTAATCAAATAAAAAAATAATACAATATATTTATAATAAAATCTCATCACCAAAATTATCTACCATGAATTTTATGACTAACTCATTCGCTTTTAACTTTTCCACTCTAAAATTTTTAACACATAAATTTTTTGTATCAACAGCTCTTGATAAAGCTACGTAAAGTTGTTCACTCTGAAAAACTTTTGCACAATTTATATATAACCTTTCAATTGTCAAACCTTGTGATTTGTGTATAGACATTGCGTATTTCAATTTTAACGGTAATTGAGTACGTGTTACCATCAAAACACCTTCATTATTTTTTTTGGTAAATCTTTCCTTTCCAACTTCTAAAATTTCTTCAATCCCGTCAAATTTCACTAATGGTATTACATCATTAGGAGAAATGCCTTTTGGAAGAT